TCACGAGTTGGTTGACCGTTATGGAATAACCGTTTCACAGATGATATCAGATATGTTCCTTATGTCGTAACTACAATACCCTTCCCTTTTCACGAATGTGACTTACCGAATTAGACTATTTACCGGATTTGTAATAACATAAGCAACTCGACGGGTGCCACATGTGGAGCAGGATCTGCTTACCCTTCCGGAGCACCTGAGATCACTCCCAGTTTTTGGTGGGGTTCGTGTAGCTTAGTCTTTAGTTTTCTATGTTGTGTCATCTGTACTATTATTTGTCTGTTGTCTTTTTATTTTTGGCCATGACGTTGTCAGTTTGTTTTCGATCTATGAGTTTGACTGTCCCTCTGGTATCTTTCGTCCCTCTTTTAGAGGTCAACTCGATAATTAATAAGATGGCGGTCTAGACTAAAACACACGAAACGAAGCTACGTATTTTCATACCCGTGCCCTTTTAATCGTTTATTTTAGACTTTTAATAGTTTGGATAAATGTTTTACATTGTTATAAATCAAATATTAGAATTTGATTAAAATCGGTGAACATGAATTTGACAGCTAGTACCCCTTTAATATGATCCAAGAAAATGAGGTCAAGGTCATATATACCAAGCATGAAATACATTTACAACTTACAATCATTCAATACACTAAATATAGCTAACTTATTGCTTAAAGTTTTTTAGAAACAAACTTAACCAGGAAAACTAAAAATTGACTAATGAACCATGAAAATGAGGTCAAGGTCAGATGATATATGCCAGACAGACACATACACGTTAAAATCCTTCCATCTAACAAATATAGGTGATCTATTGCTTATAGTTAAAGAAAAACAGACCAAAACACAAAAACCTCAACACTGAGAAATGAACCGTGAAAATGAGGTCAAGGTTAAATAAAACATTTGAGACTGACATGTACATCATAAAATATTTCTTTACAACAAATATAGTTGACCAAACTCGAAACCTGAACTTTGACCACTGAACCATGAAAATGAGTTCAAGGTCGGATGACCCTTACCAGTTAGTCGTGTACACCTTACAATCATTCCATATACCAAATGTAGTAAACCTACTGCTTATAGTATCTGATATATGTACTTGACCAATATCTTCACGCACAAAGAAAAAAAAAGTGTGGGAAATTGATTTGTGGACTGACAGATGGACAGACAGATGGAGTGCAAACCTAAAGACTCACTGAAGGGAATGTGGCCAAAGAACCTCTATGGAAATGAGATGTGCCATAGTTCATACCTATAACGCAGGTTCTTCATCAAGTAAGCTAATCACAAAAATAACATTGTTGATGCCACTGCTCCTGCCAACTCTGGAAACAGCATGCCCTTGTCTTGTGTCTTTGCCCCCACCCCCCCCCCCCCCCCCCCCCCCCCCAGTTAATTTCAGGGGCAATAATTCCAAACAAATCAACATGTTTTTCTAATATATCCAGGTTTGAACAGTTTGTGTAATGAACAGTTTTACCTTGTTAATTTTTTCTCTCCTTGCTCTAGTTATCTATATTTCATTTTCACCATTATATTCTATTTTAAGCCATATCGGCCATGTTTGTTGATGAGTCTAAAAACTTCAAAGACATCCTATAAATGAAGCAGAAAACTTTACTTCAATCCACATACTAGTGTCAGGCATTAGGTTTTAAACAAAATTTCAAAGACAACAAACAACAAGAAATGATTGTAACAGGATGCTGTTACGAAGTCTCCCAAACGAAGCTCCCATAATTCGTAATTCCCAGGGTCGCCTGACATTGGGCAAAGTCCAGTGAAAATTGGTTTGGTCCAGCAAAGTTATATGCATTAGTGATGCCTGGGGACTAACCCTGTATATCATTCAAATCATCATCAGAATATATATGGTTAAGGGGTGGGGATCTCAACCACTTACAAGATACTAGAACATTGGGGGTGGGGGGAACCCCTGGGGACTGACCCTATACGTCATTCAAATGTTAGAGACATGACAAACAGGAATATATATGGTTTAGGGGTGGGGATCTCGACCATGTACAAGATATTAGAATTTTCTAAAATGGCAGGGGGTCGGGATGACCCCTGGGGACTAACCCTGTATATCATTCAAACCATCTTGGCATGACAATCAGAATATATATGGTTAAGGGGTGGGGATCTTGACCACTTACAAGCTATTAGAACTTTCTTAAATGGCAGGGGGTGGGGGTGACCCCTGGGGACTAACCCTGTATTTCATTTGATGTGCTTTATCATGACAAACCAGAATATATATGGTTTAGGGGTGGGGATCTCGACCATTTACAAGATATTAGAATTTTCTCAAATGGCAGGGGGTCGGGATGACCCCTGGGGACTAACCCTGTATATCATTCAAACAATCTTAGCATGACAAAGCAGAATATATATGGTTTAGGGGTGGGGATCTTGACCACTTACAAGATATTAGAACTTTTTTAAATGGCATGGGGTGGGGGTGACCCCTGGGGACTAACCCTGTATTTCATTTAATGTGCTTTATCATGACAAACCAGAATATATATGGTTTAGGGGTGGGGATCTCAACCATTTACAAGATATTAGAACTTTCTCAAATGGCAGGGGGTCGGGATGACCCCTGGGGACTAACCCTGTATATCATTCAAACCATCTTAGCATGACAAACCAGAATATATATGGTTTAGGGTTGGGGATCTTGACCACTTACAAGATATTAGAACTTTCTTAAATGGCATGGGGTGGGGGTGACCCCTGGGGACTAACCCTGTATTTCATTTAATGGAATTTTTCATTTAGAACATTTTCAATTAAAAAGATTGTGTCTATCACAAACGGTTTTCAATTTCTAATCATTTGAAAATTTTAAAATATAAAATCCCATAGGGTTCTATAGTAAAACCCTCTTTTCTTTTTGCCCCTCAAAGTACCCCTTAATAAACCCCATTGCACAAACAAAACCCTGATTGCACCACTAGACATGTTAGTCTAACATATTGTGAAACCCTAAGTTAATCTGACAAGCGGTTTTGGAGAACGGGTGCCGACAAGTTCAAATTTAAAAGCAGCGGAAGAAGAAGAAGAAGAAGAAGAAGAATAATAATAATAAGAACTGAGCAAAAACAATAAGTCTTCCCAAACTTCGTTTGGGAGACTTAATAACCTGTTGGTCAGACAATGGAGGCAAAGTGGTGGCATTGAAGGCTCACAAGGCCTTTTGGCCAGGCGATGTTAAAATCATGTCCAATTTATACATTGCAATGATTCTATACTCCAAATAAAGTTAATATGTTCTAATAATTTGAAAAAATAAAAAATTAAAAAAATTGTCATTTTTATGCAGGTATTGTTTTATGATAATGATGTAAAACTATCTATGCCACATGGAAATTTCAAACCTTTAAGCATCTTATGTCCGACATTCTACCAAATGTACAAATGTTTGTATCTTTTTATTTTTAATGAGATAACTGTACAAACAATCGATTCATGGATTTCAGCAATATCAATAACAATAAAATATCACCAACAAATCACATGTCGATGATAATAAAAATACGGAAACTATCTTAAAAATATTTCTGTTTAAAAAATACAACAATTTCTGTCTCAAGTAAAAAATAAAATACTTTATCAATTAAATTCTGCTTTGTTACATGTTTTTTAAGTTACTTGTTTAGTGTAATTACTATGGACAGTTATGTTTTCAGTAAAAGAATGATTTTGTAACATGTAAAGTCATACCAAACAAAGTTAAATATATAGACTAATAGGAATTTTAGTTTCAATCTACTTTTAATAGTTAATGTAATATTTGGAAACACGGATACAAGAAAATTACCACACGAATCCGTTGCCCAATCTATATAATAAAACTAGACAGATTCAGACCTAATATGTATTAATCAGCAAAACATAGATCTTTCCTCGTTATGAAATGATATACATGATATGTACAAATGTAGATATATATAATTTGTAAAAAAATCTTGTTTGATATGTTTAACAACTATAAAATTGTAGAAGGGAAATTATATACATATAAAAAGGTCATAATTTAAAGGAATGTCATGAAAGTGTGAACATCTTTATATCAAACTAATGCAGACATGATTATTATATACTCCCTTGTTTCTGGTATAAATCTCATTGATTTTGTAAAAAAACCTTTTTGATGATTCAAACTAAAAAAGAAAATATTGTTTCGTTGCTTCCAAAATTTAAAATTTCTCAATTAAGGTAAATCTGGATGATTAATAATTTGTGTAACTAAAGTTTGAGATGCAAAGTTAACCTGCATTGAAAACACAGTTTATTCTGTATTGAAAATGAATCAAGAGAAGACAACTCTTTAATTACAACATTTCAATGAATTGGTTCCTAAAAATAAATAACACAAATGAGGTATCTATTGTATGCAACATTTGAAATATTAGCAAAATCATTATTTTACTTTATAACTTCATTCTACTTTCAGAAAGGCAGATTTTAGTATTTAGTTTTATAACAATTCTATCTTTAATATTCATCTTTAAAAAAAAGCAGTCTTTAACCAAAACAAAATTTAAAATCATAAAATTTCTCAATTCATCCCTTTTAAAAAAATCACTTATAAAAAATGAAGGAGTTTTAAGTTAAAAAATAATGTCATATAGAATTAAAGAAATGTAATTTTTCAAATTGAATCCATAAATTCACTTTAAAAACATTTTTAAATCTTGCATTTATATAGTAAAAAGATGTAAAACTATGTACATTTCAAAATTCAGCACTAAAATTATGTTGGAATTGATTAAAATACTGAAAAAAGTCAGGGAGAAAACCTATTTACAATATATTTGTGATGGTTTTCTGTCATATTCACAAAATTCTCCACTATTGAGTAAAAATTAAAAAAAGCTCTACATTTCTTTGTTATACAAGTACCCTGAAACTATGTGTGATAAATTCATTTTGAAATGTACTTCAAAGAGAAACAATCTTTATGATTCTAATATTGCTATAGTTTATAATTGTGAAGCTGGATTGTCATAAGCGTAAGCTGCTTTTCCAATGTCTGTTAACTGTGAGTCAGCATTGTATAATTTTTCCTTGGTATTAAGTCCCCAGTCAGCTGTTGGCGTTGTTACTATTCTAAGTCTCTGTAAATATAAATAATATGTGGTTAAGTTGATGTTTGATGCAATAATATGTGGTTAAGTTGACGTTTGGTGCAATATGTGGTTAAGTTGACGTTTGTTTGGTGCAATAATATGTGGTTAAGTTGACATTTAGTGCAATAATATGCGTTCCAGTTGACGTTTGGTGCAATAATATGTGGTCCAGTTGACGTTTGGTGCAATAATATGTGTTTAAGTTGATGTTTGGGGTGCCATTATATGTGGTTAAGTTGATGTTTGCTGCAATAATATGTGGTCCAGTTTACTTTGGTGCAATAATATGTGGTCAAGTTGACGTTTGGTGCAATATGTGGTCAAGTTGACGTTTGGTGCAATAATATGTGGTTAAGTTGACGTTTGGTGCAATGTTATCTACAGTGGTTATCAAAAATGTAGATTACTGTGAATCAATTATAATTCATGGAGTACTAATTTTCATGAGTTTTGTATGGATAGTTGAACCAAAAATTCTTTGAAAACAATAATGCATTTCACAGTGAGCAACTCTCACAAAGAAGACCTTTTTGGTCTCTGTCTCTGTCCTGTTTCAAAATACAACTTAGTTACCTTGCAAATTCAATTGCAATCTTTAGCACATGTACCCAATGTTTCATTGAATAAAATTCTTAATTTTTAAATCCAACATTGTGCTATTTACGAAGCAACACTGCCAAAAAACAATTAATTAAATAATTGAATATTTCAGTGTATACTCACTTCAGTGACTTTCCCAGGAGTGATGATGAATTTATAAACAAAGTACAAAGGTATAGGACATAACACTACGGCAGTCACACACCATCCAATAATCTGGGCGAATTCTGGCAAAAATATTCCATCTTTTACTTTAGGTGGTACATACTCGATTAGACAGTATGCAAACAGACCCTGTAATGTAAAGTCAACATGATACATAAGCAATGGTTAAAATATTACTTTAATTTAGGTACATAGTCAATCTCATAGTATACAAACCATGTAGCTTTTCCCAACAACATAAATTGTCAAAAATCTGTAAAATTTATTCAGTATGAGCAGTGAAAACAAGTAATGAATGAAAAATAGAATAGTCTTAAAATATTATTTTACACTATATAAGACCTCCTCTTTTCTTTTATTCCTAGATGCATGGTGTTTAATTTAGTAATAGTTAACTATACGTTTTTGTTTACTTTTGCTTGAACCTTTCTTTTTTTCCAGAGAAGTGGGATGTTGTTGGTTGTTGTGGTATTTTGTACTGTTCACAGCATGTTGTGGAATTTTGTGCTGATTTTTATCACAATATAGGCCCTTAGATAATTGAGCATTTTGATCTCTGTTGTGCACTACCTATAGCTTTGCACAATACAATTAAATAGGAAGTATAAAAATGTTAAGAAGAGTATATTTGAAAAGATTTCGAATACTCATAAAAACATTTTTGAATTGTTTTACATTGTTATTTTCGATTTTGATAAAATAGACATTTTGTTAAAGAGCAGAAAATAAAATAATTACTGTTCAAGAAGAATAAAATACACATGAGACTTTAAAGCTACTGGTGTAACATGTCAAGGCCAAGAAGAAACCCACCATGTGCACCAAAACATACATATGAGCACGACTATAATACTCACTTGCATAACACACCTCAAAGCCAAGAAACTCACAATTCAACAATACACATATGACTTTTATACTTACTGGTGTTATACATGGTAAAGCCATAAAGAAACATATCACTCCCAATCCAATACACATGTGACTGTTATATTTTCTAAGTTTTGGGAACTCATCCTGTATACATGTCAAAACTGTCTCCAATAAAGCAAACTGCAAAATAAAAATAGGCATTACATATCACAAAGCTCAAAGAATTACAGCCGATTTCAATGAGTGTGTAAGCAAAGGTAATAGTATTGGTTAGCTTGCTTGCTAGCTGAACCGTGAAGACTAGGTTAGGTAAACTATCCTCCTTTTAAGAGTAGACTAGTCCGATAGATTATCTGTTTGTAGGACTAAGCTACTTTGAAAGGAGGGTAGTATACCTTACCTTATAATGACTTCATGGTTCAACTAGCAAGCAAGCTAACCAAAGATATTACCTTTGCCTACACACTCAATGGAATTGGCTGTAACAGTTGATTCTGTTTCATACTAATCTATGACTATCTTACAAACTGGACTTGTTGGTATTTCATAGGGAACCAATGCTTTATAAAATAAAACTTGCCTATAGGTTTGCAAAGAAATAGTCCACAACAATATAATTATTCCTAAATCCATAAAAAATAAAAGAATCCACAGTATTATTATCATTGCACAAATTAAAAAAAAAATGTTGGGAATAATATTCAAGTTTTGTTAAGAGTATAAGACGAAATTATCATACTAATGTAATAGATGGGTTATTTCCAGTCAAAAATTAGAAAAAGTCCTGGTCTTTTACAAAATTTATTAGAAAAGAACTCCTGTATTTTATATTACCATTAAACACGATTTATAGGTGCAAAGGGGAGATAATCCTTTTCCTTTAAATAAAATGTACAACTATCTGTCTTACCTCACTGTCAAGTCCAAGTGTAAACAACATGAAGAAAAACAAAACAGACCATAATTGAGGTAGAGGTAGGTTAGACAATGCCTCAGGGTAGGCTACAAAGGCTAATCCATAACCTGTAACAGAAAAAAAATATAATTAATGAATTGTATTTTCTGCTAGAGATTTTTTTGTTTGTTTTAACAGATTCTGAACAGAGGATCATTTCTGAATTGTTGTGATAGTCTCAGTGGTATCAAATTCAATATCAAATATCATCTTTGATTAAAATCTTAAAGGAAAATATGAATTAAGAAATAATTCATGGCAGCTGTAGATTTGTGGCTGCCATGAATTATTTGGATTCTAATGGGACAAATTCAGTAATTTTGTTAACTGTGATAGCCCTATATGCAAGATACTGTTTTGGCTGTTCCATTTTACCCCCATATGATAATATTATATAATTTAATAAAACAAAAAAATTTAAATCGTATTTTTCACCTACATATGTTCTTCTAATGTAATTTTATTGCATTCTGAGATGTATAGAAGCTTTAAAACACTGAGTGTTTACATTTGATTTTTTGATTACAAAAACATACATATGATGTCACCTTGTTTCATTGCCATGCAAAGACGATAATATTTCATGAAATTTTCCTTTGATGAAATTTCAGCACGAAAAAAAAAAAAATTGAAATGGACTGATATGTTTATTTTGCTTTAGAATAGATATAACTAAATGGTATCTGAATCTTGGACTATATTCTGTGGGTTTTAATGTCAAAATTTGAGAATACCTGGTAGTATAATTAAGTAGGGCGTAACACAGAACAGCTAGTTTTATGTAGTTATGTGCTTGCGCTAAAAGTAGATATACTATGATTATGCTGGTTGACGATAACAGGTTGTCATATTAGAATTTAAATTTTAAAATAGCTTTACAAATAAAGACCTAAGGCATGCTACAAGAAAATTACAAAGTAATTTATGGCAAACTATTTCTTCATCTAAATCTATTCCATAATCTCTACAATGTATTGAAAAGTAACGTTTGATTAAAAATGGAAAACATCCTTGCTTACCTCCCCTGGCAACTTCTGAGACTTGAAGTCCTGTTTTCTTAGCTAATCCTCCAAATGTTGTAAAGATGACAAAACCTGCTATTATACTGGTAACCAGATCCATTACAGCGATTAACAAGGCATCACTATAAATATAAACCAGTGTTTAAATAATAAAACATGACTATTAAAACATACTATAAAGGCCCTACAGATGAAGCTAGAAATAAAAGAATTTGTCACACAAATGCCATGCTCAAGCTTTGCAATTTTCGAGTTAAAAGGGATCTCTAGAACGGTAAATGAATCACTACCCAAATTCAAACTGTCTGTAAGCATTGCATATGAATTTCATTAGTTTGTAGCACTGTGTATGAGTTTCATTAAAATTGGATGAGTCAAGCTTTAGAGTTAAGAGTGCAGAAACAAAATTGGACAGACAGAAGGTAATAGTTAACTATAATAAAAATAATTACCAAAAAAAAACTGACCATGTTAATTACATTACATCCCATCATATTTGATCATATAAATATAAATAAAGACTTAAATTTTCTGTCAAGGAAAATTAATCTTACTCATATACATTGTTGCTGAATTTGTTGTAACTTCCAAACATTATAATTCCACCAAACGATACACTGAGAGAGAAAAACATCTGTCCTGCTGCAGCAACCCATACCTATAATAAATAAATTATATACATGTATATGTTAGACTCAGATCGACGTCTGGTCTACAATCGACGTCCAATTCGGACGTCAAATTCTCAAATCGACGTCCAATTGTTTGATCCTCTAATCGACGTCCAATGTGCCGTCATGTATTGCCAAAACGATTTCCGATTTATTGTAGTCTTCTCTTATCGATGTTCAACATCAATGAATAATAAAAAAAGAAATTGCTGCACTTACACTTATACATGTACATGCATATTAATAAATGGCATATGCGTATACTTAAATAAGAACCCAACGACAAAGAAAACAAAACGACATATATATAGGGCAACACTCAGTCTTCAACAATGGACAAAATAAAGAAGTAAATGCCAACTGTTAGAGTATTATAATTTGGACTCTGTAAGAATTTTTTCAACAAATTCATTTGTTTTACACCTGGAGTGAAAAATATACAAAATAAATTGGCATTATGTTTTTATGTTGTGCTGTTACACCACTGTTTCAGGTTAGGGGAGGCTTAAGCGCTCACAAACATGTTAAACCCTGCCAAATATTTTATGTGCCTGTAGTCTAGTGGTTGTCCTTGGTTTATGTCTTGCATATTTGTTGTTCAGAATTTTCTTTTGTTATAGGTTAGTTTTTAGTTCTATAATAATTGTTTTATATGTTTCATGTCGTGACCTTTAATTGCCGACTTTATCATTCCATGATTCATTGTTGAAGGACGTACGGTATAGATATAAGAAGATGTGGTATGAGTGCCAAAAAGACAACTCTCCATCCAAGTCCCAGTTTATAAAAGAAAAACGTTATAGGTCAAAATACAGTCTTAAACATGGAGCCTTGGCTCACACCGAACATCAAGCTATAAAGGTAAAGGGCTATATAATTGCTTACATTCACTTCATTTGAACTCTGGTGTATAGTTGTCCAATTAGCAATCTCACCACATCTCACTGTTTTTAATAAGCTCTTAAATTACATAAAAATTGATATCACAACCTGTAAACATTGGTAATACATTTAAAAAAAAAGATTTTTAAATATATTTTATTTGTCACATAACCTATGTTTTGGTTGTAAAAATATTGACCTAGAACTGTCTTTACTACTTTTTATATTTATTCTTCTCGGACAATCCACGTTTCAGTTCTGTTATAAACTTTGCTTGTCCCCATTTCCGCAGTTTTGTTCATTTGTTTTAGATATATTTCCGTATAATACGGCATGTTGGCCAAAAATGTCTCGGCGTTTGCATCTTTCCATAGGTCCATTAAAACAGACAGCGATTAGAGAAGCTTAAATTTGGACGTCAATTAGAGGAGCCAAACATTGGACCTCGGTTAGAGGGGGATATAATTTGCCGCTGATTTGGAATCTTATTTTATTGTGACGTCAGCTTTGGACATCGATTTGAGGAACGGACGTCGATCTGAGTCTTACATATATATGTTGTAATACATAATTTTAAAGATAAAATAAATATGTCCTTCAAATTAAAGTAAAACTTTTTCCTTTATAATTTTTTCAGGGCTATTAAAGCAATGGAAGGCCCTAAAACATATTGTGGTACTAGACAGACATGAGTAAAGGCACTTTTTACAATATATCTCATAGTAAATAGTCTGCAGTCAGGAATATCAACCTCCTTAGTTTCCCCTCATAAGGTATCATTGAAACTCACAAGCTGAAATACAAATTGCCCCCAGCATAGAAGTGAATTTTAATTTAAAAATATTTACAAATTAATCTTAAGGTGGTACCAAACACCTTGATTAAAAAATTTCATTGGATATATAGAAGTTAGACAAACACTAATTCTGATCATTGAGAACCTAATATTTCCTTAACATAATACAACATTATTAAAACACGCAGCTGATTTTTAGAGTTATCTCCCTGTAGTGTTAGGTACCAACTTGAAAGAGTTACAAATCAAAGACTTCTCAAATTTTAGGTACCCATGGTATAAAAAAAACACTATCATTAATTGACAAACACAGGGAATTGAATTTAAAACAAAATTCAGTACAATTGTCTATGATGATAATGACCACTATTTCTGTAAGTATATCTTACAATCATGACTCATATATATATAACTTTAGATCTGCTAGTTTGGACCATTCAGGTATCAAAAAATATTTTACTCCATCAATAGCACCATCAAGTGTAGCTCATCGGATCAACAAAATCAACAAGATAACATATGGGAATGTGGCTGTGAAATATACAACCTGAAAAGATAAAAAGTAAAAGTTCCAGTCCAGCAAAAAATTAAAAAAGATTTATGGGTTGAAAACCTACAAATAAATTCATATATTAAAATGCTAAGTTATATCAAAAGCCACCTAAGTTCATCGAAAACAATCCCCCTTTACGGAATGCATCCAAATTGAATATTTGTAAAATGGACTTAATGGCATCCTGCACAAACTTTGAAAATGCGTCAATAGCTTCTAACAGAACTTTTATCTCCAAATGTTACAATTTCAAAGGCTATATTGACAGTATCAATGGTAATAACAGAACAATTACTCAATCTGTCTTGGTAAAGTAAAACATAGTTTGTCTGGCAAAAATAAACAAATCTTGTTAGCTTAGGAATGAGCAAATCACTGTCGATTAAAAATCTATTCATTTCAAAACATATGATGTATAAATTTGCAAGGCAAACTATGGTTAATCAAACAAATATAAATAAGATCACACACACTTCCATTTCAAAGGTGCTCCATCAAATTATATTGTCTTAAACACACAAAATATAAATGAATGTGCTCTATATTATTAGACATTGACTTGCATACATATATATCATAAAACTTACTTTTCCAGATGACTTAATTCCCTTTACTAAACAGAGAACAACAACAATCCACGACAACAGCAGACAGAGTGCTAACTTCCATTGTGGATTTCCTGTGTCTGAGTAGAAATCATCAGCCTTGTTCATTACAGTTTTACTGAAAAAGAAATTGTTCTTAGAATAGGGTGGTATTAATCTTACAGATAACATCCATTTCATATTTAAACTATTTGGATTGTTGTAGTTGTACAAAAGACAACTTTTACTGTAGATTCCTTTTTATTTGTTAGATATTAATTTTCTGGGTTTTGTTGGAATAGGTGAACCAGGAAATTAAATGCTTAACGATTACATGTACAAATGTTCTATTGCCTTGAACACAGACATTGGTAAAATCATGAAATAAAATACCCCAAGTAAATAGGCTACTTGCTAATTCCCGTAATTGACCCTGTAATTAAAGATCCCTTTTTTAGTTGTCTCCCTTATGAGGGACATTAATTTTTATTTACAATGGAGAGCCAGCAGAAAGAGCAAATTTACCTGTGCGTAATGTGAGTAATCTTTAAGGTTTTTAAATCTTATGATTACATTAATTTGTTGTTCAGCTAAATACTTTTGACATCAGAAATTTTTTTTAATGAAAAATTAGTTAAACCGACGATACATCACTTTCAATTCATCATGCTTTGCATTGGTAAATGCCAATTTTGTTCGGTATGGAACCAGTCGACGATTGACAAAGGGAAGTAATTTGTTTGAAAAGCATGTAATAACAGAAACAAATCGGTAATTGGCAAATGGACTATTGGTACCCACGAAAATTAAAGAATCCAAAGTATATAATTATATCTTTCTTTACAAAAATAAAGTTTCAGGCCGAAAGACGTGTCAATTTTTTAACCTGATTTCATTTTTAAAAAGCAGATTTTATATATACTACTGTAAAATTTATAAACTTAACAAACATCCTTCCATAAAATTTATGACCTTGAATACTATGACCTACTCAAAATACAGCTGTGCTACAGGTACTGGGACATCTCCTTGGTATGTGACATTAGTACCGTTAAATCCCTGGTCAAACAATATAGAATCTGTACCGTTCAAAAAACATCTACACGCTTTGTTATCAGTCAATAATTGTGTAATGTTCATAGAGCAATAGTCTAATCTCTGTGTCGACTGCTCCACACATCCTAATGGTAACCATTCCTACAATACAAACATTGGAAGGTTAACTACATCTAGGTCTTGTTACAAGAATGGCTATATATTAAAAGACAATTGTGATAATAATTAAACATCCAGTGGCAAATATTACATGAATAACTTTTATTTAGAAGAAGACACCAATGTATATGAATTGATATCTATAAACCCAGTTTTAGTTCTCATTTAATTGTTTTATAAAATGTTTCATGGTGATTTCAAAGTCGACTATAAAGTATTTTTTTCTCATTTTTTAAGACTGTCGGGTGACCTTTAATTGCATATATCCACATTATACTTATTTATATGGTGGATAGTTGTCTCATTGGCAATCATACTTCATCTACTTATTTTTATATGAGTACTTGGCTGAAACTCTTTGAGCCAAGTGGTTTAACAATCCCTGTCAAAATTTATGGTGGACTTATCATGGCAGTTTAGAACATATATGGTTCTGGCAATGGGATCTGAAGTTTTTTTAAATATATCTTAGAAAAAATAACTAAATAAGGTTTTGACATTTTAGCGCAAAACATGCCTGCTATATACAGTTACACAATATTGCAAATTCACATGTTGTAATATTTTTCATACCTTCAATAATCAAAATGAATTGATTAGTATGTCCCTAGTAAGCAGTGTTTTGTATAAATGCTCAAAATGGCAGCTTTAGGTCAGCTTCAGGCATTCATTTTAGTCAAATGTTCAGAAAAAGGCCATTATGTTTTATGAGACTCGAGTGCATATACTTGAAACTAACTGAATTTTAGTCAAGTTTAGTTACTTCTCGAAAATTCCCATAATGAGAAAAAAGCTTTTATGTCTCATTGGCAATCATCATACCACAATTCATTTCAATCTGTGGATTCATTTATTTTCTTGGGTATCAATTAGGGGGGATTGAGGAAAACTTACATTTTTGTTGATATTTGATTTCTTGATTTTGCAAACCTCTGCTTTCAAAGCCTATAGAAAATGTGCAATTCGTTGTACATTTATATTCGTGGTTCACCTGTACCCACAAAACCGACGAAAATTGGTATCCAACAAATAATAATGAATCCACAGTATATGGAAAATTGAGCAAAATTTTGAATAATAACTGTTTCCTCATTTTTATAATGTCCATCTTGAAACTGTTCCAAATCCCTAGTCTAGACCATACTTACATCTTCACAAACAGTCCAGGGTAGAGTTTTCTGCATGGAGGAGAAGAAGTAGATCAGTGTATAGGCCATGATCACATTATAGTAGATTGCAACTACTAAGGATATTAGAGCCATAGATATACCAATACCTGCAAAGTTAATACATTTGTATAAGATTTATATTCAGTGTATACATGTAGGCCATGATCACGTTATAGTAGATTGCGACTACTAACGATATTAGAGCCATAGATATACCAATACCTGCAAAGTTAATACATTTGTGTTATTTATATTTAATACAAAATAAATTATTTTATAACATGAAGAAATTGAAAATATTTTGTATTACGGTATGTAATAAATCTTTGTACAAAATTCATCATTTACAATACATTAAACCTGCATAAAATTATTTTGTATAAAATTCTACACCTATAGTTTTCTCACATTTACAAATGAAAATTGTAAATGTATTTCAGATATACTTCAATATTACATGTACCAGCAAACTTTTCTCATCAGATGTGGAAAAACAATATAAGTTTTTAATACCATTAGGCAAAATAAGATCAAAATAAAAAAAAATAATTCTAGATTGCCAAATTCCACAAAGAAACGTTTTTTGTAGGTGAATTAAAACCCTATTTTTATTTCTTTCAAACATCACATATCTTAAAAATGTCTCTCCATCATCATCTCAAATTTCAAAGATTGAAACACTAATTATAAATTAAACAAATAATAAACCAATGATTTTTATCTTCAAACCATGAAATATCAATTAACAAATACTACTACAAAAACACTATTACCTTTAGCACTTGGGTTCATTTTCCAAACCCCTGTTGGTCCTAAACTATAGAATTGACCCATTACTAACTCCATGAAGTACATGGGCTTTCCTATCAGGAACTGTAGGACTAAATAAGCAATCAGGAAGGCAGCTGAAATTAAGAAAAAAATGTGAATAAAATTCTCAAATATTAAGATATATGATTGTTTGTTGGTTTATTGGACTGAAAATTTGTATGCAAGTAACCCATCTTGCTGCCACAGTTGTGGACCCTGCTGCCACAGTTGTGGACCCTTTGTACACAGATCAAATATTGAAAAGATTGTCATCTGCAACAGTTAAAGCAGTTGGAAGATTTTTTCATTGACTGATTGAGTTCTTCCACCAAAATCTTTTTACTTATAAAACAATAAAACAATTTAGTAGTGACACAAATATAAATAGAGACAAGTTCTAGTTTTGGATTTCATATCATAGATAAAACTATATTGTAGTGACACAAATATAAATAGAGACAAGTTCTAGTTTTGGATTTCATATCATAGATAAAACTATATTGTAATTTACAATATAGTTTTATCTATGATATGAAATCCAAAACTAGAACTTGTCTCTATTTATATTTGTGTCACATTCTCATTAGAAATATTTAGGTGTGATGCGACTTGTGATGATGGTTAATTAAACATTTAATATGTGAATGGCATACAATACCATGATAAACAGGAGATGCTGATACTTTATAATGATTTCATGCATTATGCATTGTTGCCTATAGAAAAAACTTAAAATACTCAATAAATAAAAATTTTAGAGTATAAATCTCTATTTTTTTAGCATGAATCTGGCAGCTAATGACACTAATCATTTAACATGTTTAGTTTCCTTACAGACTAACAGACTCAGTATATCAGTTCGGCGAAACAGACATTCCGGTCAGATATGGGATTCACATGCAACCCCTCAAAAAAAAAATACACCAGTTTTTTTATTCATCAGGTTCATTTTAATGCTAAATAATTCTGTTGAAAATATTTTTTTCTCATAGCAAAAAAATGGACAAGATTATTGTTTTCAATCCAGATACGGCCAGAATTTTTGTTTAAGGCAAAAATCAGGGTCAGAATTGTTTCTCTAAAATATCTCAGACTGCCCCCTCAAATCAAATGGTCCGTACCTTAGACTTAAAATCTATATCTAGAGCTTACTGACTGGGGATCACTATTCAGCAATGTTATTAATGGGCTGGGGCGTGTGGGGTTAAACATGTTTTCGTACATGTAGGTAAATAATATTGCTGTGGAACTTTTTTTTCATTAGAGTGTAATAGAGTATTACTTTCTGTTGGGTGGAATTGCGAAATAGAAGTCAATACGTTCAACTTCTTGCTCAGTACTTTGTCGCTTTGAAGGCGTCATCCTCAGCCTAAGTAATGTGTTACTGTAATTTGAATTTCAAAATGTCTTAGTGACGTTTTTTTCGACGTACTGGTCAACTCCACCGTAGCGAATCACATGACTTTGGCATAATCAATAATATATTACAGTAAATACGAGCGAAAAATATCTTTATAAGTAAAGAATTGTCGCATAAAAATTAAATACACGGGAAATGGCAAAGTTCACGAAGTCTAGTCTGATTAATCATTTTACAAAAAAAAAAAAAAAAAGTGCAAGCAAAGGGGGGGCGTACGCCCTCTACGCCCCCCTCTGGATCCGCCACTGCTAACAGTTAATCTTTTCTTCTATAAAATCTGGCTTTGTGAAAGGGTTAAAAAGAGTTATGTCAGACAATGTAAATTTGCAATTTACTAATTCAGAACAATAAAAACTTTTAAGTCAGACTTTTGGTTAGAATAACTTGATTCTGTCTATGTATCTATTACAAGCTAGAAATTTAATGAAAAACCTGCAGTGTGAAGGTGTTAACCATAATTTACATACATGTATCTAGTCTACATGTTCTTACTGTTTTCTTGTCAAATCCTTTAATATTATGCTAAATTTCAGACTAAAATTAATCTTTACATTATAACATATGAAATAATTTTAATACATGTTTAAATTCAATCAGTTTTCACATTGGTAACACATGTACTTGAAAGACATGTCATTAAGTTGTCTACATTTCAATTTACAAATCATTTCCAAAGATTTCTTTCAGTGAGTCATAACTATACAATGTACAAATATACACCCAGTTAAGAAGCAGTAAAGATCGATCAGATTTTAAATATTTGGGTAAAACATGATTGTCTTTTAAAAAACAAAGCCATAAAAACCAATCAACTTAAATGATTTAGTCAAACAAAACCTGTTATACCAGTTATTGTCAGTACATTTATTCTTTAAAATATTCAACTCCTTTAATTTGTCCTTACATGTATATGAGATACATGCAGTGATAAAATATTATTGCATTCATTAATTTTTCCCATACATTTCAGCTGTTAAAATGATTGTAATTATTAGGTAAGAGTAGATTCTTCAAATTGACAATGACAATTTACCCTGATTGACCTTCAGTCAACTGTGGTAACTTGTTCGTAAAAATGAACATTGGGCTAGTCAGCCTAGTGGCCATGCAATATCTTACTATCTAGATCATTGATTATCAACTAGTATTGTAAAATAAGCGCTCCGATATATTTCACTTAACTATGTTAATTTAAATCATGCATTAATGTGTCATTCAATGGTATAGTTCTATTTATCATTTAATTAACGTAAGCTTTAACAGCTATAAACATGAATAACAGTAATACCTCCTCCATTTTCATAGGCCAGGTAAGGGAAACGCCATACATTTCCTAATCCTACAGAAAGTCTAATGCATGACAGAATAAACTCCCATTTGGAGCCCCATTGTCCTCTATCTTCAGTATCTTCGTCAACATTTACATCAACATCTCCATTCCGTTCTTTTGAGCCATTATTTACATTGTAGCTATCTTTTGTGTCTATCTGCAAATAAAAATGTAGAAAATAGCTTTAATAAATAAATCAGATTCATCTAGTCTTGAGTTATTACAAGTCATAGAATATATACATTTTGCATTTCTGGTTAAAATCCTGATAAGGCCTGAACAAAATATAGTTATATTATCTGCCTCGCTATCCCTTCCCTTAATTTTTATGCTGACCCTAACAGATACTATGAACATTCTATTGTTTGAGCACAATTTACAATGATTAAGTCCCAAAATTCTCCATGAATTGTACATGTTATATAGTGTTAAAAAATAAAACGATTTTACCTGCATTACCTCTTTTTTCTGCCAGGAGATAGGAACCATTAAAATCATGTGTGTATGTTTGTTTATTGGTAGCAATTTTATTTTCTTTCATTGATCGTTTACAGTAGATTCATTTATTTTCGTGAATATCAATTTTTTCATGAATTAAGCTAAAATTGCATTTTTGTGGATATTTGTTTTCATGGTTTTGACAAAGTCTGTATAAATGCCAATTTAAAATTTCTTCTTCATTGATCAGTTAATTTCGTGGTTTACCTGCAGTATATACCAACGAAATTGTTGTCCAATGAATGATAATGAATCCAGTTTTTATAAAAAAACTCAGTGATTTTCCTAGTATTTAGGGGAAGGGGCCCATATCCCGGCCAGGGCCCATGCAATTGGGAATAAAAGTTCGTGAAATGTTGGATTTGGGGAAAATATATTAGTTCATTTATACCGATGGCTCAAGGGGACATTTTAATTATTGACTGGCAATAAAATGAGACAATTTAAATCATGTTACAATAGTTAATTAGGCCAAGTGAAAATATATGTGTGGTTCCAGTTACATACTTTTAAGAAAAAGGGTCGGTAGGGCGGCAATTTTTTTATTTTTTTTAAATTTTTATTTTGGATTTCCAAATTTCGGAAAAAAATTGTGTGTTTACCGAAATTGATTGTAGTATTATACACGCCCCTACTGGAAGTTCGCCATTTTTACATGTAAAATTGAGAATGGAAATGTGTTTGGTTGTAAAATAAACAGTCATGTCATGTTTTAGTTGATTTTGTTGCATTCTGGATGACAGAAATCTATGAATTTAATTATATAAATTCACAATCCTCAAAATTTGATCGTTTTGAAAATTTATTTTTTAGAAATGAAAAAAAAGGTTCTAGGGTCGGGGGGTTTAGACTAGGGTCGGTCGGGTAACTGGAACCACACATATATTTTTATTTGGCCTTATCAAAGGTACCAGGATTATAATTTAATACGCCAGACGCGCGTTTCGTCTACATACATGTAAGACTCATCAGTGACGCTCAGATCAAAATAGTTATAAAGCCAAACAAGTTCAAAGTTGAAGAACATGGAGGACCCAAATTCCAAAAAGTTGAGCCAAATACGGCTAAAGTAATCTATTACTGGGATAAGAAAATGACTCTTTTGTGATGACAAGAATTTTTTTTCTTTCTAGAAACAGACCAACTTTATAAACCAATATCATCTGGATAGAAGATAAAATTATTCACACTCTTAATTTTGATACCAAGTTCTTTTGGGGGATTTTGGGTCTGCACTCTGCAGTATCAGATCAATGTATGCCAAAATCTAGTCCAAATAATTATGACGTCTGGCAAGGCTATTTTAATTTTTTTCTGGGACGCCTTCCTAGTGACAAGCCTTGCCAGACGTCATAAGTATTTGTACTAGCCAAAATCAGCAAATTGCTTCATGCAGACTCTGCCTCCTTCACCATTAAAATGAATTACCGAAATCCTTTTCTGCTATAAAAGATTCTCATGCATGCACTTGAATACAATCCCCGACTCTTTCGTAAGAATAATACTTATTTGTTTTATATAAAGGTCTCCTTGAGTTAATTGTTTTGCAAAATTTTTATTTTGAAAAACAACAGTGCACTAAACTATTATTACCGGAAGTTAATTTTCTAAAAATGAAACTGAAACGAGCAATGTGTAAAAATTTCCGGAAATGTAAAAATCTAACCTTTGTTGATCTTTGTTATCCTTCATGACTTACTTCGCTTTAGAAATATAAACATATATATCGCTCATGTAAAATCATATATAAAATATCATATACAACTGTAGCCAGTGATTGAGTTGGGGGAGGGAGATCAGGGGGTTCTATCGAGGTTCTATCAATCCAGAGACATATAATACGTATTATATGTCTCTGATCAATCTAATTAAAATTAAATCTCTCACTCGTTCATTTTTTTTATGCTTGGTCGCTGCGTGGCACGCAGCGACCAAGCATAAAAAAATGAGCGAGTGAGAGATTTAGATTAGCCCATCCAGACAGATATGTAGTAAAAATATTACTTACAGTAAAAAAGAAAAAAAAACTTTTCACACACTTGAATGTTTATTGTTACACATGAATTGTAAATAAAACTGTATGGAAAGATTTAATGTTAACAATATGTATACATGAAAGGAAATTTTAAATCTACATGTTTGAAGTGTAAAACAAGAGCGCACAGGCTGACAACTTTTACCTGCTTAACTGACCATGGTTGATTTTATGTTACAAGTTGAAAGATAAAGGTTTTACTATAATAATCATAAACACTCAACATTAGCAATGACTCAATGTAAATGAGGTCAAGGTCAAAAGCAATGTTACAGACGGACATGTACATCCGACAATCATTCCATACAATAAAATTGAAGGATGAATTTTGAAAAATAAAAGGCAGAACAGGAGTTTGAGTTAAAAAATAAGCAGGATGAGCAACTTGGTAAAAAAAAAGTCAAGATGACAATTTGTGTAAAAAAAGTAAGGATAAACAAGTAAAAAAGGCAGGACCGAATAGAGTAAAAAATAAAAAGGCAGAACAGAGATAACAACTAAAAAAAGCAGGACCAAATTTGTCATCCTAGCTAGCCCCCCCCCCCCCCTAAAAATCAAATGGTAGCTCCCTAACTATGTAGTTTACCAATTGCTTATAGTATTGGTAAAGCACTAGCCCAACCATTCAAACTTATATTTTGCCAATTAAGACACCATTTATGAACACTACACCCTGGCCGTATTGGTCACAACATTTTGGAACTTTCGGTCCTCGGTGGTCTTCAGCTTTGTACTTGTTTTGGCTTTCAAACTTTTTTCATCTGAGCGTCGCTGGTAATTCTTGTGTGGACGTGGCGCGCGTCTGGCATATTGAATTTTTAACCTGGTACCTTTTGTTGGCTATTATTCGTTTGTTTCTCTGTCCTATATTTTCTCCCATTTATTTGTATTGTAGTCCTGTCATGTAATGTTGTCATTTTAATGTTATAATTAACATTGCCATTAAAGCGGGAGGTTTTTTTTTATAATAAGCGGGAGGTTTGGCATGCCACAAAACCAGGTTCAACCCACCATTTTTTTTTCTTAAAATGCACTGTACCAAGTCAGGAAAATGGCCATTGTTATATTATAGTTCGTTTCTGTGTGTGTTACATTTTAATGTTGTGTTTCTGTTGTGTCGTAGTTTTCTTATATTTGATTCGTTTCCCTCGGTTTTGGTTTGTGGCCCGGATTTGTTTTTTCTCTATCGATTTATGAATTTCGAACAGCGGTATACTACTACTGTTGCCTTTATTTACAGTCGTTCCAAATATCAAAAGTAGTTGACCTATTGATAATAGTATTGGGAAAATTACTAGCCCAACCATTCAAACTTAACTTTGGCCAAAGAAACATGCATGAACATTGGAACGAGGTCAGAAAATACCTGCTAGACATAAATGTACATCTTACAGTAATTCCATATATCAAAAGTAGTTAACCTATAGATAATTTAATTGAGAAACCACTAGTCCAACCATTTAAACTTAACTTTGGCCAAAGAACCATGCATGGACATTAGATCGAGGTCAGAAAATACTTGACATAAATGTACACCTTACAGTCATTCCATAGATGAAAAGTGGTCGACCTATATTTAATAGTATTGGGAAACCACTAGCCCAACCTTTTAAACTTAACTTTGGCCAAAGAACCTTGCATGCACATTTGATCGAGGTCAGAAAATACCTGCTTGACATAAATGTACATCTTACAGTCGTTCCAAATATCAAAAGCAGTTTACCTATTGAAAATAGTATTGGGAAATCACTAGCCCAAACATTCAAACTTAACTTTGGCCAAAGAACCATGCATGAACATTAGACCGAGGCTAGAAAATACCTGCTTGACATAAATGTAAACCTTACAGTCATTCCATATATGAAAAGTGGTTGACCTATATATATAATTTAATTGGGAAACCACTAGCCCAACCATTCAAACTTATCTTTGGCCAAGGTACCATGCATGAACATTAGATCGAGGTCTGACAATACCCGCTTGACATAAATGTACATCTTATAGTCATTCCATATATCAAAAGTAGCTGACCTATTGATAATAGTATTGGTAAATCACTAGCCCAATTTTCAAACTATACTTTGGTTAAAGAACCATGCATGAACATGAGTTCGAAGTCAGAAATTACCTGCTTCACATAAAAGTACAGTCATTCCATATATCAAAAGTAGTTGATTCATTGATAATAGTATTTGGAAATCATTACCCCAACCATTCAAACTTAACTTTGGCCAAAGAACTATGCATAAACATTAGATCGTGGTCAGAAAATACCTGCTAGACATAATGTACATCTTACAGTCATTCCATATATCAAAAATAGTTGACCTATAGATAATGTAATTTGGAAACCACTAGCCCAACCATTTAAACTTAACTTTGGCCAAAGAACCATGCATGGACATTAGATTGATGTCAGAAAATACATGCTAGACATAAATGTACATCTTATAGTCATTCCATATATCAAAAGTAGTTGACCTATTGATAATAGTATCGGGAATTCACTACCCCAACCATTCAAACTTAACTTTGGCTAAGAACCATGCATGAACATTAGACGATCTTAGATCGAAGTCAGAAAATACCTGCTTGACATAAATGTACATCTTACAGTCATTCCATATACCAAAAGTAGCCAACATATTGCTTACAATAACTGCGAAACAGACTTAACCAGGAATACTCGACATTGAGCATTAAACCTTCAAAATGAGGTCAAGGTTAGATTAACCCCCCCCCCCCCGACAAATATGTAGTAAAAATATTGCTTACAGTAAAAAAAACTTTTCACACACTTGAATGTTTATTGTTACACATGAATTGTAAATAAAGCTGTATGGAAAGATTTAATGTAAACAATATATATGAAAGGAATTTTAAATCTACATGTATGAAGTGTAAAACAAGAGTGCACATGCTG